ATATTTAAATAATTACAAATTTGCAACATATTTGGTAAATAAATAAATAATATAAATATTTTAACGTTTGCGTTAAATATTTTTTAAATATTTTATATATCTTATAAATCTCATAAATCTTCAAAATAAAAATATTTTATATGCATTATATATGTTTATACAAAATAGCAAAATAGCATACAGAATGTGTTCTTTCGGTCTTTTTGTTCGGCCTTTCAATAACGATGAACGAATGATATCAGCAATTCATAATTGTTTCAAAAATTGTACATTTTACTAGATAGAGATGATAACGTCTGTCGCCTTCTAGTACTTCTCACGGTCGCGTCGCGAAGGGTAATGCGAGTGTTTCGCGTATGCCCTCCCATTCAAGGCTCGCCGCGCGAATGTCAAGGCCACTGCGTGGAATGTAAACAATACGTGGTACGCACCTCAATACAAAAGCGCTAAACATATGTAACACGTGTAATATTTTATTGCCACCCCACGAAATATTTAAGACATTATAAAATAGATTAATATGAAACTTCTTCTTATTTTAATCACTCAATTTGATGATTTATATATTACTACGCGTTCTTAATTCACAAATAAGGTACAAATTGCATTTAAATCAAAATTTAAATATATTTAATATATATTAATATATTCAATTAATATATTCAAATGTATATAATATATATTAATATAATAAATACACACACACACACATATAAGCGTCATTAAAGAATCAATTGTCACTAATAATTATCATTAATGCAATAATAATTTATAATCCTATATCATATATTGATTTCTACTTGAGACTAATCGAGAAAATCGAAAATATCTTACTCGGTTAGAAATATACTACCACGTTTTTAACATATTTAAATGAAACGCTAGTCGATTTTCGATGGTTGAATCTATTCTATGACAGTTTTAGTTTTCCTATAGTTCTGACCATAATCTTTTATTTTCTAAAAAATTCTTATTATTAGAAATGTTAATTAATTTTTTCATAAATTTATCTCGTCCGATTTAAGTTATACCGCCTCCTTTCTAAAATATAAAATAACAGAAAAGATAATAAATAGAATAAAATAAAACAAGAACGCACTATGTATGTGAAAATCGAGTAACAATTATTTTGTTGCCATTAAAAAATATTTAACACATTATAAAATAGATTAATACATAATTTTTTCTAATTTGTATCATTTAGTTCGACGATTTATGCATCACTATACATTTTTAATTTTAAAATGACGGACGAATTACAATCAACGCGATTAATAAAGTTAAATTAATGAAAAATTGAAAAAGAAATGCGATAATCCATCTGAAAATGTATAACTAAAATTTTACATTTTGCGCAATACATTTTGAATGTATACGTTACATAAAATACATGTATTAAATATTAATAAACGATCGATTATTATTTCTTTTCAATATTTGAATTATTTAATTTGGAACGCGCTATTGGTATATTATTCTACGCTTTTGACCTAAAACCGCCAAGCAAATTATGTTTAAATCATCGAAAAATTTATAATGCGATACAAGATATATTCGAAGATTTAAGCATTAAAAAATAATTATAATAATTATAATCGTATCTAAATATCGCAATAAAATAACAATTTATAATCCCCATTCCCTATTAGTTTCATTCCTATTTGGTTTTATTCCTACTACCTAAATAAATAAATTGCTTTAAAAATATCTGCTTTAACAAATAGTCGCAATAATTAATTGCGCACTCTAATAATTGCTAATTATTTATAGAAAATCACGTTTAGTATGTTCTAATATTTGTCGCGATCGCGTTTTGAGAGATAATACGACGCATAAACCAATTGGCATTGTTAGTTTCTCTAACTCCTCGCAGAAAATGAATATTTATTATTATTATTTTTTCCATTTTATACATTTTGTAAATTATTTAAATTGTTTGATTTTAATAAATCAAGAATTGTAATTATGTTCAATCAAATATATGATTAAAATGCAGCAATAAATATCACTTATATATATATCGGAAAAATTATAGAAAAAATTATGATTTAATTTCCTCATAAATACTTTTTCATCAGTATTCACGAAACAATACTTGCTTGCTATGTTGCAGGCTCGAATCAGCGACGAGATCATTAAAGATCAGTGCTCCTGAACGAATTGCGATCGAGTCCTGGGCTAGCGAGATCTCGGCGTCCTGCCTGACAGATTTGAAGCTGCATAGCGGCCACGGAGCCATCCGACTCGACGCCAAGTCCGTCTATATGAAGGGTCTGAAGACAGCGATGCCAGTGCAAGGACATTCGTCCAGAGAACAGCAACAACAGCAGCAGCAACAGCACTCCGGTAGATCATCATCACCTCATCAGAGCCAGAGGGAGACTACCATCTATCAGCTGTGTGCCTGTGCAAGTGGCAAGCTCTTTCTCGCCAGGCCGGAGGCCAGTTGTCAGGCGGACAAATCGATTTGCTAATACGAAACAACTCGACAGTCCTGAGTATCACGAAAACACAGGATGATCTGTTACAAATCGCGATAAACTATGTGACTCGGTGATCCTGGCGAAAAACATAAAAGAAAAAGAAAGACGCACTGCGATCCGCCAATCGGCATGATCGGGGACGAGGCCTTCATTGGAACACTGCAAACGATATCAAACGAATCTACCATGCGTCAAATAGACGGAAATACCGAGTGCGACGTATTAGGAATCATGATGAGAGATAGACAGAGAAAAGGAGAGAATACGCTAAATACGGATAGTCGGAGCTAATTAATTATTCCCAGCATGCGCTATTTTTCGATGAATGCGGCGTATTCCCAATACGCCTTTAAGTGCCGGGCGCTTTTTGGGAATTTCCAGTTTATTTAGGGCCTAATCTGGACGCTGACAAGTATTCTCAAGTACATGTCAATTAACTAAAATCGCTTTTTCCCTTTTTTTTGATTTTGTAATTTAACGTCACTCACGTTTAATTGAGTTGCCATATAAGAGCACGATCGGGCGTTGTTGCGACATTAATCCCGCGGTTAAGGCATACGTCAATCTTCTCCGATCGCGGGAGTTTGACGGTGCCAATCTTCGTTGGTGAAACATCCAGCCAGTGAAACGGTCAGGTGTTTTCTCCGCAATCCGGAAGAGAGCACACGCCCGTCGTACGGATACAAAGGAAATTCTCGCGAGATCTTGACCGGCAACCGGAAAAATTCTCTCAAATTCGCGGACATTTGAAAAATTCTCTCCGAAGAATATCTTCAAGCGGCACATTCACCGAGTTCTTTCCTTTAACTTTTTCCCGCGTCAGCGCCGTCGGTCAATGCGACATGCCTTCTGAAGTTCTTGCGTTGCGGAAGATTCGCATATTTTCTCGCGGCGTGCTTGCTTGTTTGGCGTTCCGGATTCGGCCCCCAACTTGTATATCTCTCCCGGCAGGGCGTCGCTCGTCCGGAAGCCCTTGAATTGTCCATCGAGGATCCGTCGGCTGGGAGAATCCCGTGGTACCGTGAATAGATCCTATATTAACTATGTGTACGTAGCACTGTCGCCGACACTACTCCGCGATGCGTATCTCGTCCCGGACTCCCATCTCACTTTTGGCAAACTGTAAGGTTTGTATTCGAGAAGTAAAGAGAGAATTAAAATTTCTTTACGCAATCTTAAGGGGACATATCCCCTTTGAAACCTCGAAAAATGAGTGTATTTTCTAGATTTTTTTGCAGTGCGACTAAAAATTTTTAATTTTTTACAATATTATTACAATATTATTAACTACTTAAATAAAAACTTTCAGCTTAAAAATAATTTTTTTTTTTGAAGTTGTGGGAATATTTGTAGAGCTCCTCCAAATTTTAGATGGCTGCACGGTGTGCATAAAAACGTTCGTTTATCATATCCAAAATCAAAAATACAAGTTTTTTTTTTATTAAACATTAATAACTATTTGCTATCCAAGCGTTTTTTCCAAAATTTTAAAAAATAAGAAAATAGTGGCGTGTTGAAAAAAAGTTTCATTTTTTTAAGAAAAAAATCTATCTTTTTTTATTTATAATAAAATATCGGGGAATCTGATTTTAAAAAGGCTTTGTTAGCAAATGCAAAATCTTATTAGGAACTCGCATGCAAAATTTCAAGTCAATCCGTCGAACGTAGCCCGAGTTTTCATGCACACCGTGCATGAAAATATAAATCTGCAAATATTCGCATAACTTTTTAAGCAAAATTTT